TTTTCTGGTCCCTCATGGTGGTCGTGGCCCTCTGTGGATTGGTGGGGAATAGAATCATCATCCGGCTTGTCTGTGTGTCCATCACAAAGGACTCTTTCTTGATCTACATCTTCAACCTAGCCATCGCAGATTTCATTCACCTTTGCTTCCAGATCATGTTCTCTGTCCACCAGATTCTAAAGCCTTTTCTAAAGCTTTGCTTTTAATCTCCCTGGTATATTCACGGTGCTCAGGTTCTTCTCGTATTTCACTGGCCTGGTTATCATAACTGCCAACAGCTTTCAGCGCTGTCTGTCCGTCCTCTTCCCTATCTGGTATCGGTGTCACTGCCCAAAGCAGCTGTCAGCCACGGTGAGTATCCTGCTGTGGCTTCTGACCCCTCTGATAAACTCAGTGAGGGGCCGCACCTGTGGTCAGCTCTCTTGGCCAGCAACTGAGTCCTGCCAGGCATATGAAACCATCACCGCCGTGTGGGTTTTCCTCCCGTTCTGTCATGGGTGCATCCAGTCTGCTGATACTCCAGAGCATCCGGATCAGCTCCCAGAGGCACCAGCCCAAAAAACTCTCCCTGGTCGTTCTGCTCACTGTGGGGGTGTGCCCCCGCTGTGGTCTGCCCTTCGGCACCATCAGGTTCCACATGGTCACTACGGCCAGGGAGCCCCTCAACAACATCAGCATCCTTTCATGCTGCGTCAACAGCGCGGCCAACCCTGCCATTTATTTCTTCACTGGGGGCCTTAAGGGGCAGGGGCAGTGGAGGCCCCTCAGGGTGGTGTTCCACAGGGCCCTGGCTGAGGAGGTAGGGGATGGCGAGGACAGGAAGACGCTCCCCACTGGCACAACAGAAACGGTGGGCCTTTCTGCTCCTCTGGACCCGACCCCAACGGTCTCCTCACAGTGACCACTTCGTACCTCCAGGGCCAAAGAGCCACCCCAAACAAGCATCCCCGAAAGCAAGGTTCTCTCATAATCTCCGCTTTGTACAAAACTTTAGGGTAGATTGCTAGAGGTAGATTTTGTGTGTTAAAAAAAAATGCATGTTTTTAAGCCTTTGGAAACATATTGTCAAGTTGTCCTTCAGCAAGTTTGGAAAGTAGCGTATAAAGTCACTCTTGCCAACTATGCACAGTGTCTGTAAAAATGGTGTAGGAGCAGCCTCTGACCCCCTCTATCAGCCCAAGGGGGAAGGAGAATCAAGGTCAACAGCCCAAGGCTGACTCCTGTGAGGCAGAGGGCAGACGTGCTTTCCCTCTCCTCCATCCTTACCAATTCTGACACCAGCCATCCCTCCCACAGCGCTGTCTACTTCTCTGCTGGGTTGATAATTCATCGCAATGGCCACACAGAACTCACAGACCATTACGATTATGAGGTTTATTAGGGAAGTAACAGTTTACAATTCAGGTTCAGGAACACTCCGGATACAGTTCTTCCATCAGGATAGCCTCTTCCCAGCCGTGCTCGCATGCCTCTCCCTGGCCCTCAGTCTCTGCCCAAAGGCACTCAGCTTTCTCTCTCCACGGGCTGGGAAGCCCACCACACCGTCTCCTGCTGCGGGGTGTCCCCTGCCATCACTTCTCTGCCACCTTCAGGGCTACAGCTCACTGTCTGTCTCCTGGGTCCAGGAGCTTCTCAGTGCAGGGATCCCAGGTCCAAAGGACGTGCTGGCTCCTGGCTGTTCTTCCTTGGTGGTGGTGGGCGCTTCTCTTTCCCACCTCTGGGGTGGCTCATTTTAAACCCAGCGGGCTGGCAAAACTGATCAATTCCTTTGGTGGGCCACAATTACCCTATCACACAGCTCTGCCCCATCACTGGGGTGAGAGTTACAAGACCATGGCTAGAAAGGCCACACAAAAGTGATCCATCACAGCACACAGTCTTATTTGAACCTCTGCCTCAGTGTTAGAACTCACACTGGTTTTCACTTTCTGATAACTACCAGCTGCCGTGGAGTCGTCAACTCACGGCGCTCCGACGTGTGTCAGAGTAGTACTGCGCTCTATCGGGTTTTCAAATGGCTGATTTTTCAGAAGTAGATCACCAGGCCTTTCTTCTGAGGCACCTCTGGGTGGACTCAAACTGGAACCTTCTGGTTAGTAGCCGAGTGCTTAACTGTT